TCCGTTGAATGCCGTAAACACCGCCAAAATGGCCATTGATCAAAATTGCACGGGCCACCATTTCCACACCATCAGACTTTTGCGGAACATTTTGATAACTTTTAATCACCACGTCCTGTAGCTTGTGTTGGCCGAATTTGAAATGTGTTCAACTCACACCCTAGGATGAGATAGATTTTGAAAACAATCAAAACTGGATGATTTTCCGCGGAAAGCCGTCATGTTTTTCAAAATGGCTGATTTCCTGTTGAGTTTCGGATATGTGTTCTTGAGGCTTTTTTGTGCGTCTCAAGTTGTTACATGTGTGTGCCAAATTTCGTGGCTCTACATGAAAGTGTGTTCGGGGGCCCATTTTTTGTAATTTTGTAGGTGGCGCTGTTGAGCCAATTTTCTATTGAGGTGTGTATTTTCCCCTAATTATAACATTTTTTGCCAGGTCTGATGTGTGTGGCGAGTTTGGTGAGTGTGTGAGTACGCTGTGGACCTTTGTACGGAATAATAAGAAAAAAAATTCCTAGCAATTCCAATAGGGTCTTCGCACCCTCTTGAGTGTTCGGACCCTAATAATTTGGCTACAATACACATTAAGGCTTGGACCCCAGAGTCTCATTACTGATGTGCACTAAGCATCTCCATTTCAGGACCTTTGTTTGCCAACTGACCTAATCTGTCTGCATATTCATCCACATACACCATTCCAAATGACTAATTTACATTTACAAGGTATCAGACTCTTGATTTTAGTTAATACGACTTCTCCATCATTGACACACGCTAAACGTAAAGCTAACTATGTGTAAAGAAAAATCACAGTGCTTGGATGAATTATGTAATGTCATTAGGTGATAGGAGCTTTTAGTACTGAAATTGTTATATACATCTTTGTGCGACCTCTTTCCTAAAATCTTGACAGATGAGGAAGATGTATTCTCTTTTTTAAATAATCCAAAATAACATAATTTATCAGAGCCAGAAACTATAAAAACACAAAGAATGATTGGGTTTTCAACTTTCCTCTGCTTCTTGAACTAATCATGTGTATAGTTCTGTTGGACAAATTAACCAAATCAAAGCCTAAAATCCTGATATTTAAACAAAACCAGTTTATGCTACATGTCTAAATTTAAATTTTTTTCCCCCAAGGATAAAAAATTTGAACTAACCCGATTCTGTAATATATATATACACTCACCTGCCACTTTATTAAGTACACCTTGCTAGTACCCCCTTTTGCCTTCAGAACTGCCTTAATCCTTCATGGCATAGATTCAACAAGGTACTGGAAACATTCCTCAGAGATTTTGCTCCATATTGACACGATAGCAACACGCAGTTGCTGCAGATTTGTCAGCTGCACATCCATGATGTGAATCTCCTGTTCCACCACATCCCAAAGGTGCTCTATTGGATTGAGATCTGGTGACTGTGGAGGCCATTGGAGTACAGTGAACTCATTGCCATGTTCAAGAAACCAGTCTGAGATGATTCGTGCTTTATGACATGGCACGCTATCCTGCTGGAAGTAGCCATTAGAAGATGGGTACACTGTGGTCATAAAGGGATGGACATGGTCAGCAACAATACTCAGGTAGGCTGTGGCATTGACACGATGCTCAGTTGGTACTAAGGGGCCCAAAGTGTGCCAAGAAAATATCCCCCACACCACTACACCACCACTACCAGCCTGAACTGTTGATACAAGACAGGATGGTCCATGCCTTCATGTTGTTGACGCCAAATTCTGACCCTACCATCCGAATGTCGCAGCACAAATCGAGACTCATCAGACCAGGCAACGTTTTTCCAGTCTTCTATTGTCCAATTTTGGTGAGCCTGTGCAAATTGTAGCCTCAGTTTCCTGTTCTTAGCTGACAGAAGTGGCACCCAGTGTGGTCTTCTGCTGCTGTAGACCATTCACCTCAAAGTTCGACGTGTTGTATGTTCAGAGATGCTATTCTGCATACCTCGGTTGCAACGAGTGGTTATTTGAGTTACTGTTGCCTTTCTATCAGCTCGAACCAGTCTGGCCATTCTCCTCTGACCTCTGGCATCAACAAGGCATTTGCGCCCACAGAACTGCCGCTCACTGGATATTTTCTCTTTTTCGGACCATTCTCTGTAAACCCTAGAGATGGTTGTGCGTGAAAATCCTAGTAGATCAGCAGTTTCTGAAATACTCAGACCAGCCCGTCTGGCACCAACAACCATGCCACGTTCAAAGTCACTTAAATCACCTTTCTTCCCCATTCTGATGCTCAGTTTGAACTGCAGCAGATCGTCTTGACCATGTCTACATGCCTTAATGCATTGAGTCGCCACCATGTGATTGGCTGATTAGAAATTTAAAGTGGCTGGTGAGCATGTATGTATGTATGTATATATATTTCTGCTGCTTGGCACTACTAAGAAGCCTTAACAAAAATTTTGTAACATTTCATCTGAAGTGGACTGAACTGCAGGATGTGTTAGGGTTAAAAGGGTTAAAGCAAATAGAAGAAAAGTAAGAAAACAAATTAAAGATGTAAGTAGTAAAATATCTACAGTAGTTTGAGCCACCCATTTGTCGTTTGTAACACCTGTGGTCACTTGGAAAAATTTTGTACATGTTTCCAGGGTTTTTTCTATGATTGCCTACAGTGAGGAAAAATGTGACAGAAGCAAAAGAACTGGGGTTCAGAGGGTTCATTTATATTTAAATTTAATTTAGATTTAAAACCGGAACTCTCCTCTAACATCATGTACAATATTTCACTGTATGTGAACAAACTCTGGTGAAACTCCACATGACCACTGTCTTACCCGGAGTGTCTTCTTGGCTCCATCACTGTTGCTGATGATGATTGTGTCTGGACCTCCCATAGAGCAAATGTTTTTCAGTCGGGCTCCTCCACAGACAGGGACGGTGGACACAGCAAAGTCCTGAACAGATGGGAGGTTTAAAGGTTAAATTCACATTCAGTCTCTTCAGGTTTCTAAAGGTTCTCTCATCCAGTTTGGCAGCAGTCACCCCAGTGGTTTTCATCCACGGTGGACATTCAGTCGTAGCAGGAAAAGCACAAGTGTAGCTAATGTCACTACTGCCACCTGTGTCTTAGTAAGAAAGGCAGCGACAGAGTGAGGCAGCACTCGACACCTGCACTTTCAGACTTCTTAAAATTTAACAAAACCTGAAATATGTTCCTCTGAAACACAATACTGAGGATGTCTGATGAAGTAGTTTGGCATTCCTTCTATTTTCATGCCCTGTTGTGACCACATTAACCCACCCATCCACTTTAACTCATACCAGACACAAAGCAACAGCAAACACATTCAACATGAAAAGATATAAAGTAAATGTGCGCCTCAATCACGTGTGTGAAATGCACTTAAAAGAAGCAAGAGAATCAATACTAATGGGTGGGTCGCAGGAGGCTGCTCGCTGTATGGTCTCCATTATTTGGCCGACGGAACGACCTCATTCATCACTGTTTACAGACAAGAATTCCCCAAATGCTGTACAGCAAATGGCCACCTGCTCACTTTGACAGCTGGGTCCTTTTTCTAATGAGACTCTTGGCATCGAGGCCATCTTTGTTGCACTGACTAAAAATGTACAGCCACTGATTAGTTTATGGTTTATTGATAGGTTTGAGTTTGGCTATTAGGGAGCGTTTTATTGAGAGACAAAGACACAGAAGGTTCATTCCATAATCAGCAAATCCCATAATTAAAAATACACCTTTTCTGCAGTAGCTGTGTCCATCTCAGTTTACAAACCTCCAGTTAATGATGAATAACTTCTCATGTAAATCTTACTGAACTAACAGCTTAAATCAATGAACAATTGTACCATTAAATGTATATTGGCATTTTATTTAACAGCATAAAAAAGGGCTGTAAATACTACAGCTCAACTGATTATCAGATCTGATATTCCACATTTTTATGTTTTTAAGTGATTCCTGATAAAATAAGTAAATCTAAAACTGTGCAACTTTGACTCAGCTCCTCTCTCACTCTCTGAACGTCCCATTATCTTCATGGCTACACATCAGTTTCTCAATTGTTTGCGCTGGAGTTTGTGTTATTCTAAGTTTTTACACAACAATTTTCATTTCAACTGCAAATGTATATCTGCACGCAGAATATCAGTTAACATTTTTTAATTTTATAAGGCATTTATTGAAATAGACCTGTCCAGGGTGTCCCTGCCTTCGCCCTAAGTCGGCTGGGTTAGGCTCCAGCCCCCCCGCGACCCTCGTGAGGATTAAGCGGTGTATAGATAATGGATGGATTTATTGAAATATAATAATGGTCAAAAGTGACCTCTTTGCTATGATACATGCTTTTTTGTGATTTTAGATGCCTTTAATGTTAACTTGAACAACATTTCTAATCATTTTGAGAGCTGTATTTCGGTAAACCTGTCCACAACCTTCAATGAGGAACTTGTGAACTTCATACTCAGCTAGAAATGTTTAAATCTTTGAACTCTCTTATGGCTTTTGATTAAATATATGGTTTCCAGGAATTTCTTATTTCATTTTAATCATTTATGTTATGTTGTTAATTGTATTCTTTTTTTGTTCTATTTGTTTTTAATCTATTGTGATAACTTTTTCACCAGGTTCTTACCGTTTCATTTTTATGTTTATTGTTTTTAATCTATTCCTTTTTAATGTACTTGCTCGGTGTTATCGGCATATCAGTCATCGCGCACGCACGCACACACACACACACCTTACCCTGAAAGTGTCTGCGAGCACCTCGGCTCCTCTGCGGTTGGTGTGGGACGAGATGCCGACAAAGAACTCCCTCCCGGTGAAGAGGACATCACTGCCCTCCAGCGTGGCCCCGCTGGAGTCCCCTTCCTCACCTCCCATCTCTACCACAGTGAGGTTCAGCTCCGACATCACCCTCCTCACTGCCTCCACCTGACAGATGGAGAGAACGAAGGGAGACGTGATTAATTTAACTCCGTGTGAGAGTTCCAATCAAAAGGCGGCATAATAAAACCATACAGGTGATTAGTGTCCTTTTCAGCATGTATCTCCATTGCTGCTGGTTCTATCAGTCTCTTTTTATCTTATTGACAAACAACGGTAAATAAAAGAGGTGTGAATATTTCTTTTATCATTGGAGTTTTGTTAACATGACATGTTGCCTTGTTGGTGAAGTTAGGAAACCTCAGTGATCCTACAGGTCTGTAATATCTAAATAAAGTGTCCTGGAAAGTCCCAATTCCTCTAGTTGAGTTTTTGGTTGGTGCGCAGAAGGTCAGCTGAACACATAAAAAATGTAAAAAAAAAAACAAAAACAAACAAACAAACATCCATATAAAAAATGACTAAACTTTCCAGTAATGAATCAACAATAAATGAATATTTTGGGAGGTTAAAACGCTGTTCTTTGAGAGGAATGCCTTTGTTCTCTACAATTTCAACCAGGTTACATGATTCTTTTTCCCAGGAAAATGTCAGGATATTAAGCATGCCGACATGTTTTTTCTTATATTTTGTATTTTTAGTGCCCAACCCCAGTGTGGTTTAGAACACAACAAAATCACAGTTCCAATTGTCAATTCTTTACATTTTCATACAAAATAAAAGTTATTTTACAGCCTTGGTCTTCAACAAAATATTCGGCCTTCTTTCCCAAGCTTAGAAGATAAAATCTGCTACAAAAACAAGCTGCAACTCAAGTTTTTCATAATCATCCAGATGAAACAAATCAACACTTGTAAGACATTCTAAGAAAAAGTGTATTCCTTATACCATTGTAGACCCAACAGCCAAACAAAAAATAAACTTCAATTTTCAGTTTAAACAAATTCAGACAACCATTAAGTCCTCTTCTGGTGCAGCATTAAACCTCTAAGGTTACTGGATGTGTTGTTAAACATAACACAGGGATCTTTGTTTTTTTCAAGTTATACTACTTGCAATGTTCTACCCTGTAGTTATCCTTAATAAGAACATAAATTCATAATTTGTTATATAGTAACAGACCATTTTTTCATATGTGAGAAACATCAACTAATATTAATTTGACATATGCCATTTGAAAATTTGTCTCATTTACAAGGACATTATTAGGAAACTAAAAGTGTGACTGGAACATCTAACATCCACATTTAAGCCAACAAACATCCACAACTCAGCTGCCAAAAGCACTACACTTGCACTGAGAAGTAAACTTAGACAAATCTAAGAAAAACATAGAAACGGTCAAAGTAAGTTGGGTTGTATCTTGTACTGAAAAGGTTGTTTACTGCAGTTGAAACTGAGTGCATCAATGAGGAACAACACCAACATGTAAAGGTCACAAAAGACTGCTGTAAACAAAGTATTTGCTTCAAGTTCATCTTCATACTCATAAGAACTGAAACTCGAGCTTAAAAACAAGATTAAGTGCATTATCAAGGGATTAAGGCTGCAAAAATGAGTTACTAAAGCCGGCTTCTTCTCAGCTGTTACCTCGCTGCGTCTCTGCTGTTTGAAGGGTCTGGTGATGAGGGCCGTGTCTCCCTGGATGACTGCCACATCTTCTATCCTCCAGCTCTCTGGCAGCTCGGGGTCAGGGGGGATCTCGATCAGCTGCAGACCCACCTTCTGCCTAAACGCTCCTGTTAGGCAGCCGAATTGACGCTGAGCTTTGGCCAGATCCACCGAGGCCTCCCCATTCTCACGGCCCTCTGCCACCGGCTTCCCAAAGGTCTCTGGGACGCCCCGCACCACGGCATGGGTGAAGCGGCCATACGGGCACATATTTGCCATGATTTCAATAATGCTGGTAGCAAATACTGGTGTTCTCTCAAAATTCCAATAAGTTGCTCTGGCAGGAGAAGTGTTTGCAATTCTGTCACAGTCTGATCTTGTAGAAACAACAGATGAAAATGCTTTAAAAAAAGTTAATGGTGTGAATTAAGAGATCCAGGAGAAGAATGGAGAGCATCTTCTGTCATTCACCAGCTATTCTCCCATCTGAAGGGTGGAAGCAGATGATTCCAGCCTAAAACAGAGGAAGATGGACACATCAAAGCCAAGGCAAGAATCAACAAACCTAACAAAATATTGATTTACACCTCCAGCGAGCACATACTGTGAGATACTAACATTTCAGGGGCACGTCCCAGGCTAGCTGGAGGGGTAAATTAGTATTCTAGAGACTTTGTTCCAACTATAATGAAACATAACACTAAAAAATTGCACTTGGTAGTGGTGTACTACCGCAAGAAAAACAAATGTATCCTCATCAAAACATCCAAAGGCAGCTGAAATAACAGAGACAGAGCTGAAAGGAGACAAAGGAGCTTTGTTCAAGGTTAGACTGTGAGGAAACATTATTCAAAAGCCCTGAAATATGCTGCAAAGCTTGTACATATCTGAACAGTGGGTTTAGATTTGGTACAATTGCCCTTTTATCATCTTCAGCAGTCGCCCACTGTGAGGCTGCAGAAAGGGACCTGGGTTTCCCTCCACAGAGGATGTCTCAAAAGTCTGCCTCATAACTTATGCAACAAGTGCTGGGCTTTGATATTCACTCATTTAGTCATGAGGAAGCACATAAAGCGTATTTAGTACACTACATGCAAGTTTAGGCTCAGGTAATGGTGCTTAAATGACGTGTTAGTATTTCATTCAACATCAATCAAGCTCCACAAACAGCGGCATTGTTCATAATATATACTTGTTAAATGTCTTAAGCCATTATAATATTAGACTGAGGGTGTCCAGCTGCATTAAACGGTGTAAATCTCCGCCATACGCAGAACAAAACATACTGAGTGTGTTTCTGCGGGAGTGAACCGCCCCGCAGTTCAACGCTCTTCCCAAATACTTCTGAAGATGTTCCACATCTTTCTAACCGCCGCCAACACTCACAGAAGAGCACCAGTAACAAACACGGGCGTACATTTAGTCCTGCTTACCTGTTTTCAGCGCCGTCTGTCCACGTCCGGCCGCGTTTTCCTCCGTTTTAATTTAATTTCCACAGCAGCCCAGTTCCCGTTACTCTCCGGGTCCCTTCTCTTATGCCGAGTGTCAAAATGGCGACTGTGTATATGCACGTATCCGGTTATGTATTTCAAAATAAGACGAACGGTGTTATTTCACAGGAAATGTGCTATGTTACAACATTTATCGCTTTGTTAAATTAAACAAGTAATTCCAAAAATTGTGAGAGAGCCGAAACAACAAATAGTTTCCACATATTCGTTGAAATATTTAATTTTGGCGCTCGATATGCTTTTACTTTTTGAAACCACGCGACCATACTTGTGTTCTTCTTCGTATGTTTTCGGTGCCTTGACAGCCACTCCGAGCCGTTCGTCCAGCCCCCCCCCCCACAAACACACGCGCGTGCGCGCGCCTGGCCGGCCGGATTCAATCAGCGCTGATTGAACCGATCAGCCGCCGTTGTTCGGGCCTCCAGTCCTGCTCAGTGATGCTGCACAGTCAGGATTAATGGCGAGTAGAAAATGACTAGCTTACTGTAGAGTTTTGCTAGGGCCAAGTTCTCAAAGACAAAGACAACTATTGAGGCGTTAAACTATAGTACTCAGAGCCAATCAGAATCCATATTGTTGGAAATTTAACTTATATTCAGTCAAGTTACTTTACCTTTACTTTTAATATTTTTAAAGCCCAAACTATTGTTAATTCATTAGTTTAGGCTTTAAAATTATTACTAAAATTATAGACAACTATATTAGAATAGTTGTGACTCTAGCACTAGCATTGTGTTCATACATGTATAATTAATCCCTGATCGTAAGCTAATGCTAATGCTAGTTGTTAGTGTCGTTTTTTAAGGGATAGTAACTGACAGTTTTGGTAAAACTAATTTCACTACTTTTTTGTGGAACCATTTCTCTACAAGTAGTTTTGACCAACCAGATATTTTGACACTGATTTTGGAGCAATTCAAAGATTTGACAGTATTGTTACTGAAAAGTGTACAGACAGTATAAAAATGCAGGTGTTTCTTATAAGTACATAGAGAATCTGCTCGTATTTTTATTAGTTAAAGTGTGTATAATTCAGGTTTAGCTATGGATTTAGTTGAAGCTCTTGCACAGACTCGAAAAGACTGTAAACCTACATCAAGGAGTACTGGAAACAAGTGGTACAAACCATTAAACAATGTAAAACTGACCTGCAGAGCAAATGAAAGAAGAAACTAGTGGCTGGATGAAGGCAGTGTGATGTCTTGCATGTACTTAATTTATGTAATTTAAGTTTTTATTATCTTATGAGGTTTGTAAGCACTTTTTAAAAAATCCAGATTTTAATAAATTGATGGTGCATACAAGCTCTTATCTATATCTACATGGCCTCTTCCCTGCATAAGAAAATGCTTAAAGTGAGAGACCAAAAAAAAAAAAGACTTTCTGCCCTACAGTGATTTGCTAAATTCAATAAACAAATAAGAAAACAAAAACAACACTAATGTAGATTTCAGGGTGCATGCAGAGGAAACATCCCTCTCAATATCTACAACACATGCATTTTTCCCCACTAATGAAAAATGAAATATTACATACATGAAACATACTTTTATTTTGAAAAACCACTGTATAGGCTACTCATTGTGCCTGAATTGTGTGTTTTCTGTTACATAAACACAAATTTCCATCATAATTTGGTGCAGAAAAGGCAGAACCTGGTGCATAAGAAACTTTTTTTTTTGTTCCCATGGCTTCTCCCATGGCTAACAAAGAGTGGTTTAATTTAAAGGTAACTTTTGGAAATGTTTGTCTAAGTGAGTCCTCCGCTCAGAAAATCTCTTCTTTTGTCACCTCGACACCCCTCCGTTGAATTAAGACACCAAGTTACAGCCAGATTTGGGTTTTTCTCGGATTAAGGACTCCTCTTTCATGCCTCTTCTAATCCTGATGAATTGTTTTTGAAGGCCATCAGCAGATGTGCTTGTGCTTCATATATAAATGTAAATGTGGCCTTTCTGCAGCATTCAAACTCATCACAGATTAAAGGATATATGCTGAGGCCATCTTTGTCTGGTTTTTCTGCGTGACACGGCAAATAATCTGGCTTTTCCTGAAAAGTGGGTCAAATGATGTTGTGATTGTTGGATAAACAGGTTGCCTCGGCAGGCACCAGAGAGGACAAGAACTGTGTTGACAATTAATGTTCCTGCATCGCTAAGCAAAATGCTATTTGTAGGTCTGCTCAGCACTGATGTAAACATGCACACGCTTGTGTATATATCTAATAAATACCTCCAGAGGCGACTTGTTGACTCATGAGGTGGCATATTTCCTTCTAGTGACTAGACTGCAGCAGCAAGGAGTCAGAGGTGTAAGCACCACAGATAAAACACATCTACAATGTGAGGCAGAGGCAGAAAATGTGAGGTGGATGTAATAGCAGAGGGCTATGTAGCAGGATGGGAGGTAGAGGGTACAGACAGGATTAAAGAACACCATCTGTCCACTGAGACGCTTCAGCCAGCACACAAAACATCCCCGTCTAACACAGCATCAACGCCGTCTGTGAAAACGTCCTGCTGCAGATAAAAATAGGAAAACAGAGGGAACCGTGTGGTTAATTTACACTCAAAATACACTCAGAAATAGAGAAACAAAGGCAGGGAAACCTAATTTTAATTTTGCAGTCTTACTCTTCTAAAGCAATAACTCCTGAAGCATTTTTAAAAATGCTTTTATTAAACTAAAAACTGGCTCATGCAGCAAAATAGCTTCATTTAATAGTAGTTTTGCAGTTTGTTTTTGCAGGATATGGGTAGATTCTTTTAAAAAGTTGATCCAAAAAGTACATTTGAGTATAAATGGACAATACTTCCCATTTACAACAGGGCAGTGAACTGTCACACCAAACTCCATTCAAAAATCTACTTTAACAGCAAACACACACAACTGCAAACAGCATGACATTTTTGATGCCATTTATGACTCATCAAAGCCAGCTGATCATTTCTGCATCGAGTACTTGATCCAGATTAAAAAAGCTGCAAATTTACAAGAGAGCTTGTAGAAAAGCAGGAGTCTGTTTGCAGGGAGTGTTTTTGGACGACTTACGGCTGCACAATTAATCAGCTGGTAAACAGCTTATTCAGTCTGAGCCTGCTTTGCTCTCTCCATCACAAGACTGCTGTCAGCAGACCGTCCTGCCTGCTGCCCTCACGGCTCCTATTACACCCTGAAGGATAATTTAGTTAAAGCGACTCATTCTCCGGCTCACTGTTTATCTACTGACTCTTTCTGCTGACTTTATTGGTGTCCATCTTTTCTGACTTCACTCTGAGCATCGCTGCAGTAGCTGCTGTCACATGCAAATACAAATATTGACTCAAACAAAAGTCGGTGTTTTTTTTACAGTGCAACTATAAGGTCATAGGTGCAAATTCATCGAGCACCAACCAAACGTTTTGAGTAGTTAAGGGCCAGAAATGACAATATTTTGACAGTTATCATTCATTTAAAGTTTAAATGTACCTTTACATTATGCTTAAACAGTGCCTGAAGGAGTCTAGCATCATTTTGATGTTTTTTTGGCCATTTTCTGTCATAAATTTTTTATCTTTTTTAGCACCTTTTAAACATGCATGATTGCATTGTTTCCACACGTGCTTATGTCACAAAGTATCATACTGCCAGAAAAGTGAAATATGTAAAATATGACATAGAATCTAAAGTTTCTTTAGCAGTAATCAACCAACATGTGGTTACTTAACAGCTCAACATAGCAATAATCCAGTCTTTTTATACGCAAAGTGATTGTATACCAACTTGTTTTGGGAATTTTTAAAATGACAATTGGTGTATTTTATCACTTTAAATACAATTTTTAAAAATGTTTTATTGACATAAAAAGATGTGCGTAAGCCCCACATCTCTACTTTCAACTCTATATTGAAAAAATGGTAAAATGATTCAGAAAAGTGCAACACTTTCTGTTTTTGTAATCCCATTCTCAACAAAACAAACATCAGTGTCAACTTCAAGCATGTAATCAAAAAATAAAAACTCTTAATGCCATTAAATCCCCAGAAGTATTACTGACTTGTGACAACTAGAAAATTGATTTATAGCCTTCACAGTGAGGTCAGCTCTATTATTCATGAATACTTCTTTTTCAGTTTCTACATCTCTCTCTTTCTCTAATTACCACATTGTTACATAGAGATTATTATCAAGCTTCCCATAGCTTCATATAAACATACAAGTCTTCATTTCTAAACTGCCTTCACCCAGGTCAGCTGTCTATAATTACTTCTCTAGATTCAATTAAAAGTTTTAGGGAGGAGACGCTGACTGCCTGAACATCACGACAAGAGTCAAGAGTGAGAAAAACTCTGACGGTGCTTAAAATACAGAAAAAAATCAGCAAGTACAATTTTAACCTCCTGAGAAGAGATTTCTGTACAAATCCCCAGCGAGAAAAGGTGTCTGAGGGACTTTTAAGGACTTTTGAGGAAGTATCATGTCTCGTTCACAACTTCTATTTGTTCTCCTGTGCTGTCTTCCTGTGGCAGGTATGTAAAAAGTAAATATAGGTTTAAAAAAAGGGACTTTTATCAGCTAAATTATAAAGAAAATCCTCTGCAGGATTTTACTAAATGCATTTTCAGTAACACTTTGTAACACTTAATGCAGTTTTCTTTTTTCTTTAATGACAGGGTCATATTTTTCTCATCTGACCACAGTATTTTAATGTGCAGTGAAATTGCAGCTTTTAACTTTTAAACTTCATTGCTGGGCATTAAGAAATCAATTTCTAATATAACTAATGGAGAACAAAATGCTTGTTCTGTCAAAAAACTTTAAACCAAAGTTTACATGAGTCTGACTCAACTACATTAAAAAAAAAAAAAGTAGAAAATATCCCATTTATGTTTCAGTCTGTAAAAAGCTGCTCAACAATGAGGCCATTTTATTCTAAAAAAATACTGTACCTGGATGGTACATGCTTGATTTGATTTGTGTACACAGGAGGATGATTGTGGAATTTGTTCTCCATCATCTGAAACCTGGTTAAAGAGTAGGGGGACTGATTATAGCAAACACATGCTCACCTACTGTGGTCTAAATACTGCATATGTCCTTTTAAATGGTGTTTGATTAATTGTAAACTGTGTTTTTAGTGGCAAAACAGAAATGTTATTCTGTTTATCCGCAGAAAATTCATCTTTAATTACTCTGATAATTGGTAACGTCAATTCTTGTGTCAAAATGTAAATACGTTTTAAAAAATATCTTCTACAAAATTACATCTTTTTTTGTTTGTTTGTTTGTTTTTTTACAAAACTGTTAGCATATACACAGAGAATTTCATTTTACTGTTAAACAGAAGTGCTTTTCTTCAAAAATATCAAGTGGAAATCCAATTATACAGATAGATTATATAAACACAATTTTCTTTTTGATGTGTCACAATGATGGTAAATTTAATTCATAATTGTATCTGGACAAAACAAGTGTCAATCATAAATAAAGTAATAATAATAATAAATAAAGCTTATTATTACATATAATGGGGCTGCAAGGTGGCGCAGTTGGTTAGCATTGTTGCCTCGCAGCAAGAAGGTTGCCGGTTCGCGTCCCGGTGGGGGCACAGGAATCTTTCTGTGTGGAGTTTGCATGTTCTCCCCGAGCAGCGTGGGTTCTCTATGGGTTCTCCGGCTTCCTCCCACACAGTCCAAAAACATGTTGAGGTTAATTGGTGATTCTAAAATTGTCCGTAGGTGTGAATGTGAGTGTGCTTGGTTGTGTGGCCCTGTGATAGACTGGTTACCTGTCCAGGGTGTCCCCTGCCTTCGCCCTAAGTCAGCTGGGATAGGCTCCAGCCCCCCCGCGACCCTAGTGAGGATTATGCGGTGTATAGATAATGGATGGATGGATTATATATAATCAGGCGCAATTGGTAGCACTGTTGCCTCGCAGCAAGACGGTTGCCGGTTCGCGTCCCGGTGGGGGAACGGGGATCTTTCTGCGTGGAGTTTGCATGTTCTCCCCATGCAGCTTTCTCTCCGGGTTTTCCGGCTTCTTCCCACAAGTCCAAAACATGTTCATCCTAAGTTGGCTGGGATAGGCTCCAGCCCCCCCGCAACCCTAGTGAGGATTAAGCGGTGTATAGGTAATGGATGGATGGAAGTATCAATCAAATTATTCCAAAACAACTGTGGAATTTTCCCTTTTCCCACAGTTAAACTGATACGTCCAATATTGTCTTCTTCCAGATATATCAGCATCAGTGTCTAACTTGTCAGCTAATAAGTGTTAAATCATAAACACAGAAAAGCCTAATTAAACTCTGAGGTCATTTATAAAGTATCTCTGTTGCGAAGTTTGTCCAGCAGAGAGCACTAACAAGTAGATTTTTCCAACAGTAGAGCTTGTGGAAATTTTCTATAGGAGCCAAATTAAGAGAATTACTTTGCTTGTTTTGTGATCATTTCATCATGCAATATGATACAATATCAGATTTTAAACTCATATTGTTGCTATGAGCTTCATCATTTCAAGATTGATGCTACTTTAAGTTATTTAATAAAGTGTAATTGTGTTTTTCAGCCTGTTTGAAGTGTTACACTTGCGTATTTCCAGCCATCTCTCCTCTGGACTGTTTAAAGTTTCCTCTGGAGTGTCCGGCTGGGCAGCGCTGCCTCTCCAGCGTAGCGACTGGAAGACGAGGTGAGAGTTTATTTCTGCGTCCGCACATGAGATCAGGTCACAAACTGGTAAACAGAACCTGCTTGTACAGAAGATTGTCTGGGAGCAGATTTGAGAAATAAACAGTTCAGTTTGTCATCATTTGTATTGACTTTCTGTCATTTGCTGATCCAGTCTTCAACCTCAAAACTGAACAGATTACAATTTCTTTTTTTTTTTAAATGGTAAACTGTCTACTTTCAGCTTCAAATGATTGTAATAGTAGAATTATAGAATGATTTGTAGACTGAACTGTCTGCTCTCTCTGTCTGCTGCTACTGCTCCAGATCCCAAAATAAAAATTTAGGCTGGTTTTCAGGGCCTGTAAGAACAAAACAGGAGCAAACAGTGACTCAACAGATCAAACCTCAGCATCGTTTCTCATCAGACCGGTTGTCGGCTCACTAATGCCCATGATGCCATCAAATTATCTCTATAAATAACTTACTGGGCTCTGAGGGTGTGGCAGAACATCCACTGTGTCTCATCAGAGGATAAAGCCCCTATAAATACACACAGTTTTACACATGAGCAGCATGAATGGAGAGCAGTGAAAAGATGTGATGGCATCTATGTTTCTTCTAATGTCCAACCCAGAAATCGACCTGTCAAGTGTATAATGAGGTAAATAAGTGAGAAAAGAAGCTGCCACTTGCTTTCTGTTAAGTTTTCTTTGTTCTCAGCATCCGTCTTATGTTAGCTGAAACTGAATCTTCAGTGCACTTTTTAATTTTGAATATATGCAAGTCAATATGTTAGATTTTGGTGATGTGACACTAAACTTAAAAAAATGGAGCAAAATTAATCAGTTACATAAAAACAAATAAAGGCCAAAATGACTTCATGGTTATATCTAAATTACACCCGATTTATTGCATAAAATACAAAATACATCATCTGTGTATGTTGTTTTAATTTAATTTAACTTATAGTTATTCATATTTCCAGTATTAAAACTCATTGCATTCCTTTACAATTTCAAGTTGATCCATCCAAAGCTAAAATTTAAGTTAAAAAAAAAAAAAAAATGTATGTGTTAACATAGGATTGGTGAAATCAATGTACAACAATTCAAGATGATGAATTAAAACTTGATCATCAGGACTAACAAAAATAAGCAACCATAGTTTAGTTTATACAGCAAATTTAAATTAGGTATTTTAATATCTTGTTTATTGTTATATCAGCTAAAGTGTGGAAGTATGATGGAGCCTAAATTATTCATGATTACGTAAACGCTTTTTAAAAAAATCAATTTCAGGCAATTTATAACAATTTCTAATCATAGCTGATTAAATTAGTGAGGCCTGAATAGAGCACAGAAGTGTATGATTAACCAATCAAAACTGATCTATTAATTCAAAAAAATCCAAGCTCTTGCTGTACTGATATTTTCTGTCTAAAACACCGCAAAAAGGATTAAACACCCTCCTGTGTGTACAATCTCCTGTGACAGGTTTATACGAACACAGTCTGAAATCAAGTACAAAAACGCAATATAAGTGACACTTACCTACCAAAAAAAAAACCAAAACATTTATAACATTTTAATATATTGTTGGACTCCTTTTTTAAGGAAACTGAATCCAGAGCAACTGTAAACTTTGTATTACATGTTTATCACTGAACTAAAACTACTCCTCTGCTCTTACAGGCGCTCTACAGCTGACGATGTATGAGAAGAGCTGTGCTGTCAGCTCCCAGTGCGGCCTGAGTGGACAGAAATACACCTCAGGCATCTTCCTCAATTACACCAATGTCTGCTGCGATACGGATCTGTGTAATGAAGCTGCAGCTGTTGCTGCCCTCAGCTGGAGAGGATTGATGCTCTGCCTGCTGCCTGCATTCAGCCTCCTGCTGGCCTGAGCAGCTCAGGCCATGAGGAGGCCAAAATCACAGAAGAGAGTGGAATCAGCGGGAAATAATGCATTAAAATGTACAACCACAGGCCTACGGGGCAGGAACTGGTGCACCAATAAGGTTTGAAAATTACAGTTTTGAAAGAATTAACAGAAGTGATGCAGTGCTATGATATAGAGAAATCTATAATGATGTTTTCCTGCAGCTAAAAGCAACATGTGGTACTAAAATATATCTATTTTAAATACTATTACCTGATTTGATACCCTAAATAAAGTGATGTCTAACCCCCAGAGTGTTTTTTGAATTAAAAGTACTAAAAACTTAAAAGAAAGTGAGAAACAAAATTAAAAATAGCTTTTTTTCTTCCTTTTATTTCATTTTATTTTTATCTTGTGACCTTTAAAATAAGGTGTCAAAGGTCATAAAAATTAAATTTTCACAAAATATTTTGAGTAAAAATAACTATAGGCTAATAATGCTATTACACACACTTTAAAGAGATGCCTTCTTATATGTTTCCTGCCAGTGATGCTCCATTTTATATGTATTTACTGTGTTCACTAAAAGTTGTTGTGTTTGACATAGTGTTTATTGAGGTTGCTGACTGAGAATAAAATTTACTGCATCTACTAGAACCGACTCTACGCCTTTTTGTTTGTCTTTCAATAATATTACCCTTGATAGAGATTATTAAAAAAAAATTTAAAAAAACATGCATTTGTTACAGGTGGACTTAATAACAAGATATTTTATTGGGATATTAATACATGTGTCTTTGTAAGAGCTTAAACATTTACATTTCAGCAGTGCTATTAGTTTGATTGTCTTCATTGATGCTTTAAACCTACTGGTTGAGCGTCCATGCTACTGGTTTGATCCTGTGGACGTTTAAGTGCAGCTGCTTCTGACTACACGATAGTAAACAGCATAAAAAAAAAAAGACAAATAAAAAAGGCTAAAATATTGAAAGGAAAATACATAGGGGTGGGGAACAAAGTGGAAAGCACAATATGGGTAACAAAGCACATGCATGACAGTTGTTTAAAAAAAAAAAAAAAAAACAGTGACGTGAAAAACAAACTATGCAAATTAAATTTTAAGAATTTTACACTGTCCCTGAAATTGCATCAAATCCGAAAGTTAAAGGTGAACAAGAAATACTAAAACATATCAGCACTGAAGTCACTCGGACTTGATCCCTTTAAAAAAAAATTAATGAACTCCACAATAATTCAGTCAAAATACATCAGGGGTGAACTTTTGTGATTAAAATTCTGTAGAAAAATAACCAAATTTGCTCACACGGTATTTTTAGTACAAGATTTTCAAATCAGTTTAAATTGCACTTAGGTTCAGATTTTTTAACAACACATGAGGAGGCTGCCTCAAGCTCACAACAGAGATGTTTACAACACTATTTATGTTTGCAAACAACTTCCGTAAATGTAAATTTGCATAGTGCCTCGCAGTTAATAAAATCCTCTACACAAGCTGCTGCTACAGTCAGATGAGGCATGTTTGTTAGTTCCAGTTCCTCCCAGCAAGCTCATTTCAAGTCACTTCAACAGAAGTTTCAGACCAGCAGACTTCCAGGAGCGAGTTAATCCAAAAGTAACGTGTCGGTCCGACATCTTAAAAGTGACAACAAGGCTTTAAAAGGACAAGGCTGGTATCTTCTCTTTTCATACTGTCAGCAAATCCCATGAAAATGCAAAACCAATTAAAGCCGCAAGTGGCATTGGACGGGTCCTCGCCGTATGATTGTCGGCCGTTGTGCACTTCGGGTTAGGGCACTAACGTGCTCCTGGTGGGACTCTGATCTGTCGTGTCAAGTTTGGGGCAGATCGGAGCACGTGTGGCCTACTTACGAGCCACTTCCTGTTTCGTGGCGAGCCATGGCGGCATGCGTGGCATACTGGTAACACACTCTGGCTGAGACTCGGAGCACGCATGTAAAGTTTCAGGCTGATCAGACCACACACAGGCCAGTTATAGAGCACGCCCCATTTAATGGCTTTTTATGGCGTTTTGGTGAAATTCTACAGGCTGACATTTTGATGCCATCAGAGTTTTGGGGAGCGTTTTATTAACTTTCAATCACCACTTACTGTAGTTTGTGCTGGCCAAATTTCAGGTGTCTACGACGTTCCACCTAGGAGGAGATAGATTTTGAAAATGGCTGAAAATTGCCAAAAATGAGCGAAAATGGACATTGATTGAAATTGCATGGGCCGCCATTTCCACGCCATCAGACTTTTGCTGAGCATTTTGATAACTTTTAATCACCACGTCCTGTAGTTTGTGCTGGCCAAATTTGAAATGTGTACAACTCACCCCCTAGGAGGAGATAGATTTTGAAAATGGCTAAAAATGGGTGATTTCGACCGAAAGCTGCCATTTTTTTCAAAATGGCTGACTTCCTGTTGAGTTTCGGATATGTGTTCTCGAGGCTTTTTTGTGCGTCTCGAGTTGTTACAAGTGTGTGCCAAACTTCATAGCTGTACGTGAAAGTGTGTTCGGGGCCCATTTTTTGTAATTTTGTAGGGGGCGCTGTTGAGCCATTTTGCTATTGAGGTGAGTATTTTCCCCTAATTATACAATTTTTCGCCAGGTCTGATATGTGTGCCAAGTTTGGTGCGTGTGTATGTGTAGGACCTCAAAAACGCGTTCATTGTCATGGATAATAATAATAGAAACCCGAGCAGTTCCAATAGGGTCCTACGCACTGTTAGTGCTTGGACCCTAGTAATAAAAATCCCAGCAGTTCCAATAGGGTCCTCGCATCCTTTGGTTGCTTGGACACTAATAATAATCTCTAGTAATTCCAATAGGGTCTTCGCACCCTTTTGGGTGCTCGGACCCTAATAAAAACCCGAGTAGTTCCAATAGAGCCCTACGCACTGGAGTGCTCGGACCCTAACAATGCAGTGATGCTGCTAACAAGTGTTAAGTACTAAAGTCAATTTTGGAAAATATCAGCATCAGGGCTAGCTGCAGCAACACGTCCTTTGCAAGAAACTTATATGGAGATAGTTGAGTCAGATGATCAAGCAAGTTATGAACGACCAAAAAGCAAGAATGGAAACAAAGCATTTTTTTGGAAACATGGACGGATCTGTACAGAAAATTCAAAGCGAGTGAGTCCCAGTTGTTGATTTTATATTAGTAGCTTCAAATCCTGAAATGTTATTGCATCTATTACATAGATTTTTCTTAAAAATCTAATTTAGTATGAAGAATTGTGGAATTTCCATGGTATTGGTACATACCAGCAAAGTTTCTGCGATTATGATCAACAACACACAACCTCTGTAGCTGTGCTTGTGCTAAATGCTAATATCAGCATGTTAACATGCTCAGTGTCAACATGCTGATTAGTAGCAGGAACAACCATGGTCATTAGCTTTAATTGGGGTGTTAGCATGCTACAATCCACTATATCCATGTTTCTTCCGGTTTACCAGAGTCGGTCTTAGTGGCAGCAGGCTAACGTCCCTCACCACATTTTATGATTTCCTTCAGGGGGATGCCAAGGCGTCCCCAGGCCAGATGAGATATGTAACCCATCTAGTGAGTTCTGTTTCGATCGGTCCCCTCCTAGTGGCCTGGAAAACCTCCAAAACAAGGCACCCAGGAGGCATCCTAACCCGATTACTGAACCACCTCAGCTGACTCCTTTTGACATCAAGGCACTACAACTACACTCTAAGCTCCTCACTATTTTTAAGTGTGCAGACCAAGGCGGGTGCAAACGCACTGACTTGCATTAAACACAAACAATAATTTTGCAGATATTTGATGATGATGGCGGTCAAGGTAAACTTATAGGATCAGCAACATCCTAAAAGGGGCGTTAAACGTCTGTAACAAATTTCCTAGTGATGCATCCAATAGCTATTAACACATTTCACTGAAAACCACCAAAGTGAGCCCCATGGTGGCTCTTAAGGAGAAGTCAAGGGATCAACAAAAGTCTGTAGGACTCATCATCTCGAAACATGAATGAATTTGTCATTTGTTTGGACCAAAATGGTGAACCGATGAACAGTGTTGTGGCTCTAAAGTGGTTACAAATGAGCAACGTTGATGCCTTGTGTTCCTTCATGATTAATATGGGCAGCGTAGTTTCTTCTCAAGACAAGCACTAAATGTGTATTATTCCACACCTTAAAATTGTCCCCAACAGTTTAATGCATAATGAGCTTTAATTTACTATTAATGAACTTCTGCCTGACTAGACTTATCAGGCAAACACCCAGAAACGTTTGTTATTATTAGTTTTGAGAAACAGATTGTTTTCATGGGATTTACTCACAATTAGAGCAATATATGTTGCCAGCCTTATTCTTTCATCACTAAACAACAACCTGCTCACTAAAGCTGCATTTTTTTAACATTACAAACATAATTTCCTGCTCTTGTTTCCCTTCATGACCAACATGCGAGCACGGCGTCACTTCTTCATCCACAGCGGCTACAGTTCTCTCACTTCCATACATGACAGGCAGACCTAAATAAAATGCTGGCAAGATCACAAACAAGCTTGGTAATCTAGAATAACTCTTCGTGCCTGCTGTGGGAGCACAGAAAGGGGAAGCCCGACTCTATTGAAACCGTTTCCTGTCTCTGTAACTGTGTTCAACTCGGCCCCCCTACACAGGACTCAATGTGCACCTCCTTCCTCTCTGAGACGCAACGAGGTTGCAAAGGTTGCAAATAAAAATTGGCTTTAATGGTAGTAACAAAATGTTGTAATTCATAGCTGTGAAAGGCCTTGTTCCCTCAATAATGAAATAAAAGTCAACGTGAAGCATCTGTGATTACAGACAAACCACAAAAGACTCTTTGGCAGGTGAGCTCGTATGCAAACTTCATTTCCTTAAACAGAAGAATAGGAGCTGAATCAGCCTGTGTGAGGCTCGCAAGGTACTGGTGAAAGTTAGATCTGGTAGGCAGCTTTGTGTCGAAATTTAACCCCACCCCATAAAAACATCAAGGACAAAACGGAAGAGTCAACAAAAATGGAACAAGAAGCATCAGTGTTTCTACTGATGGTGAAACTGTACACAAGCAAGGCTGTAGTTTAAAAAAAAGTGTGTGAACATGTTCGTGTGTCCCTGCAAGCAACATGATTGACAAGTCACCGGACTTTCATTCATCTCCTAATGACGGTCAATAAGAAATCGCCAGCTAAATGAATGAAACCAGAGCTGAACCGTTGTGTTTTGTCAGCTCGTGGAACTCCTGCTCTTCCTTGTTTCCCGACTGTCAATCCAGTTCTAGGACAAAAATAAATCTGTGCAAGCAGCTAAAGCGTGTTAGGAGAGCATCCTGCAACACTCGCAACTAACAGAGGGACTTGTCGATCATGTTGCTCGCACGGCTCGTGAGTGAGTGTGTGTGTGTTTTTATTCTTTTGCAAGTTGCTCTGCTGGTATATTCAGGACATGTGTACCACCATTCTTCTCCTACTTGAGAGCTTTAGCGACAGAGGAGTAGGCAATGTGGATCTCGTTGTCGATTGGGCAGGTGGAGGCGAACTCCTCCCTGGCGTACGCAGCGTTCAGGTACCTCCAGAGGTTTGTCAGGGACTGAGGGATGCTGAAGTTTCTGTATTTCAAACACACCACCTGCATAGAGATAAGGAAAAGAGTTTGAGAGGCATAAAAACAGTCACTAAAGTTAGTTATTAATTCATCTTCCCTGTGCTGCGTGAAAACACAACATTACCTTCACGATGTGCAGCTTCGGCAGCAAGTTGCAGTCAGCCAGAGTGAGCGCTTGGCCGTCCAGGAAGGGGCGGGATGAGGAAGTGACCTCATCTGTGCTATTCTCGTCGATCTCGTCAGGAAGTGGGGAGCTGAGGTAGTCGTCCAGCTTCGTCAGAGCCTTCACCAGGCCTTTCTCTAGGTCTGAGCACGTATGCAAACAGAAAATCCGATTTAAAGCTGAAGAAATAGTTTGTTTAAATGGATTTCATACACTTTTATTTCCAACCAACAGCAGTGATGTTTGCAGTGAAATGAAAGCGCCTCAACACAGAGCAGCAGGGGAAATTCTTACACTGAGGCTGACCAGCTCGGACTATAATGTTATTAACAGACGCTTCCTGCTGGTTTTCTGTCAATCAGACAACAGACAGGAGGAGAAAGTACCAGGAAATACCAGCCAAAATAAACCAGGTGCTGTTCTTAAAAATACAAATCCTGGGTGAGTTTCATTTTAGTCGCATTACACTTCTGATCTGACTTACTTTCATTCGTCTGAGGGTTTGAGTTCTTGATGTAAGCGGAGAACTTGGAGAAGACGTCCATGCCAGCCGTGTTGGACTCTGGATTACGAGCTGCCAGACGGGGACATCTGAACACGAAAAACTCTCACAAATTAACTTCACAAACTAAAGGAAAGCCTGCATCCACAGTGGATGACACAAAACCTGCAAAACATCAAAATAAGAAGCAAGAAAAATTAAAGCCGCAAGCAGCATTTGACGGGTCCTCGCCGTATGATTGTCGGCCTTCGCACACATTGGGGTGTGGCGCAAACGTGCTCCGGGCGGGACTGTGATCCGGCGTGTCGAGTTTGGGGCGGATCAGAGCACGTGTCACTTAGTTACGAGCCACTTCCTGTTTAGTGGCGAGCCATGGCGGCGTGCGTGGCGTACTAATAACGCACTCTGGCTGAGACTCGGAGCACGCGTATTCAGTTTCTGTACTGAAAAATGGCCGATTTTCGGCCGAAAGCTGCCATTTTTTTCAAAATGGCCGACTTCCGGTTGAGTTTTGGGTATGTGTTCTTGAGACTTTTTTGTGCGTATCGGCATGTTACATGTTTGTGCCGAATTTTGTGGCTCTACGTGAAAGTGTGCTCAGGGGCCCATTTTTTGTAATTTTGCAGGTGGCGCTGTTGAGCCATTTTTCTATTGAAGTGTGTATTACCCCATAATCATAAAATTTTTCGCCGGGTCTGATGTGTATGCCAAGTTTTGTGCGTGTGTGAGTACGTTTAGGACCTCAAAAACGCGTTTCTTTGAAATAATAATAATAAACCCTAGCAATTCCAATCGGGCCTTCACACCCTTTTGGGTGCTCGGACCCTAATAAAAACCTGAGCAGTTCCAAAAGGGTCCTACGCACTGTAGTGCTCGGACCCTAACAAGCACAGATGCAACTAACAATTAGTCTTATGTTATAGTTGGGTCGACAAAATGTGACACCACATGTCAGAAACAGGGCAGCATCAATGGAAACACATGTGGAATTTGCATCTGAGTCAGTTCGTATTAATTTGACAAAAATGCAAGTCAGAAATCTTGTGGACTGGAGTCAGTTTGCAGGCGGTACTTTTTTCACATTTCTACAAAAAGCTGCAAACTCCAAGGAGACATCCTCAAATATCTCATTTTGTCTGACAAACTGTGCCAAGATATTCAATTTACTGTCACGTAAGTCAACGCAATTTTAGAAACTGAAGCAGGAAAAAGTTTCATATTATTGCTTGAAAAAAAAAAAAAAAACAATTATTGCAGCTTGCTATGACAACAACATAAAATGGATTTGGAAAATGGATGATTACTTTGGAGGGCTGAGATTCTCCTCCAGAAACTCCTCGATCTTGTTGGTGTCAGTTTTCACCTCGCTGCCGTACAGCAGGAAGGGAGGCTGAGCACCCGGAGCCAGGTCCTTCAAGATGTCTGGCTTCCTGATGGTGGACGGGAAAAGAGTCCAAAAGACAGAGAGAGAGAGAGAAGGAAAGAAGAAGGAACATGAGAACAAAAGATGTTGCACCACAGAAAATTACTCATGTTCACAGCTAAAACCTGCTAACGTTTGACTGAAATGAAAGCCACAGTGGGTGTGTATCTTTTAACAACTAATATCTGATTGAAATGTTAAGTTTTCTTTACTGTACGCTACATTTGGGAGCTTTAAAACAGCAGGCGGACATTCCTCTGTAGTGCCAGTAGAAACCTGAAGCACTGCTAGGCAAAAAAAACAACAAACAAACATGGATGACCAGTGTTTTCACCTTTTCATATCCACCGTGGTCACGTCAAAGGTGACTCCTTTCAGCCACAGAACCATGAAGAGACGCTGAGAGAATGGGCAGTTACCGATGCTCTGACCATCACTTCCTGCCTGGAAAACACAGACAGAAAAATGTTCTGAATGCACCATTTTTGATTTTATATTTTTTCCATTTATTTGCATACAAGGGCTGTAGCGATCAATTATACTAGTAAAGTACCCCAGGTAAAAGGTGGCATGTTCAAATGACTTGTTTTGTTCAACTAACAGTCAAAAATGATAAGATATTTAGTTTTCAATCACACAAGACAAACAAAAGCATCAAATCCTCACATTGGGAAGCTGGAAACGGCAAATGTTTTGCATTTTTGTCTCAAAAAAAAAATGCTAAAATGACTATTAACCCTATAATTCCCAAAACCTAGCAACAGGTTTAAATGACAAATCATCCTAAAAAGAAAAACAACAAAATTAAACAATTTATGAGCCAGAAAGTTAAAAACAGACACAAACTCACCCATGACGTGCCATTTAATCAGAAAAAACTTCATTGAAAATTGTGATGTTTCATCAAAATCACTACATTCCACATGACTCATTTAAAAAATGTAGTTTGCACTAAATAGATTCTGCAAAATCAAGAATTCTGTGCTCCTCTTTGTAACTGTGAAACCATGACTGACTCAACTGTGAGCAACAGTCAGAGAGAAGACAAGTACAGAGAGCAACATGTAAGTAGTAAAATATCTTTTCTATGTAGAGCCACCAACTTTAATGTTTTCCATTTCATGATTTAGGGCAATATTACTTTGTCATCCTGCACAAAAGACATGGGCTAGTCATGGTTGTGCTGTTTCCATAGAGATGCAGGACTTTTTGTTGCAGTGAAAATTGAGTCCACAGTAAGCAAAAATGTGTCACGAGCAAATCATGAAACAGTTCTCTTTTGCTCATATGATTACCTTATTTTCTTCCCAAAGCAGCCCCGTGATCATGTATATTGCTTTACAATAACATAATGCATACAAAAGAGGAAAATAAACAACACATGCACCACAGCTTTTCACTCTTGAACCAACCTGCACAGTCAGCACTGAGGATGTGTGTCACTGAAAAGCAAAGTGACGCACAACAACCTTAAACTAAATGGAAACCTCCTGCAGAGCTCTAACCTCATTTACAGGCCAAACCGAAGGCAGACAGAAAACAATGATACTAAAATGAGTATTGAAACCACATTTTCTTGCCTTTCTTTCATTCACTTAATTTAACTGTTATTTAAACCCGGCCTCATTGCCACTGTCACCAAGACAATAAACAGAAGACAAAGAAGAAATTTGCATAAGAGTGATGATAAAAAAATTTTAAAGATTGAGTTTGAATCTGCAGTAGGTCTCTATTTAAAACTGAGCACTGACAAATTTAACTTGAGCTAAACAAATTAATCAATCACAGAAAAGTTACTGATTATAATCACTTAAAGTTTTTCTGCTTTATAAATTTGTCTTACAGGATGGATTATTACCCGGGAGTTTATTTTGTTGTCTAACTTGTGTTGAATATGATTATGCAGCAAAAATGCACATTTTCATACGATTCAAGGACCAAATTATGCAATAACTGAAAAAATAATCAGCAGATGAATCCAAAATGACAAGAAGTGCAGCTGTAGATGCAGCAAATTTCATTTCTGTGTTCTAGTGGGGCAGCTCAGGAAATGATTGCAGCTTTAAAAACGTGCAGGAAGCCACATTTCAAGTGAAGGTACATCTGAACTTCCTTCAGGATCTGCAAATGAGGCCTCGAAACTCGAAAGCACTCAATCAAACCGCTTCTTCTTTTTTTTTTTTTTAACCCAAAGCCTATGCAAAGCTATTACATATAGTGTTTATTACATGTTTAACTGAAGAGAGCGAGAAAAAAGACAGATTTGGAGAAAGTTACAACAGCATCTTTCAGTCCTGCAGAATAAAAAAACAAAACGAAGTGCAGGGTGGCACACATGTTCATACAGGGGAATCTTTATGTGTGAGGGGAGCCACAGAAACACGGTGCTTATAGTAAAGTTTGGGGGGGGGGTTTGGCTCAAAGAAAATGGGATTAACCTGCCTGGACGACATACTAAATATAGATTAAAGTCGGCTGCCCATTATCTTAATGTGCATTTAATTAGATTAGAGTGGTTTATAAGCCCTGTGAGTCAGCAGAGGTGGGCAGGAATACTACAGTGGTTTAAAAGGAGACTTTACAGGTTACAGATATGCTTATCAGTTTGTAACAGTAATATATATATATATAGTGATGAAATATGAGAGTCTGAGCCCGTTAAGTAAACTCTTGTCACACAATGTCCCGGCGTCACTTTCTGGGTGTTTCTGTCTTTACCTTCACGAAAAGTTCAAGTCGAGGCTGGTTCGCGTCGCTCATTTTCACCTGCTGCACAGAGACACAAAAACAAAGAGACAAAAATAAAATTATGTTTTTAAATTACACTGCATTCAAACAGAAAAAAAGTTACTGTAATGTTCCCAACCAGGCGACTTCGCAGCGCGGGCTGCCAAGCCCATCTTCCGCTAGAAATCCGTCACATCGAAGCGCAAAGTAAGACATCGTTGCGACGCAAACGGCTCAAAAAAAGCAAATTTGCGCAAGTTTGAAGCGCTAAAAGTGATATTTTAGGTCATTTAGAGGATTAAAACTTACTGAAGTTGTCGGTGCTGCTGCTGCTGCTGTTGGTTTCTCCTCCCAGTTCAGTGAGCTACACGCTCATCATCATCATCATCATCGGAGCTGCTTCTCCACTTCCTGGTGCTTAGTGACGACATGAGCTCTCAGCCAATTAGGAGGCGGCAAGAGGAGGAGGCGGAGGAGGACGAGATGCAGGAATCAGGATGAAGGTGTGGTCGATTGATTCATACTCGCTTTTAAAAACAAAACTCCACAAACTCTTTCAGAAGTTACTAAAAGTTACAAGAGACAAACAGTAGTATTGGCGAAATAGGACACTTTTCTTAAAATTTGTATTCTGGAACAATCTAGAGATTTATTCTAAAATCTCAGATCCCAAATTGATGTAATTCTATAAACCTCTACATTAAAGAAAATATGAAGAAAAATCAAACACAGAATTCAAGACTCCATCTCAAATACACAATATCCTGACAACACTTTTTTACAGGACATCATCAATACATAAATTAAAGGAGATTAGTTATGTCAACATTTTAATATCTTCACACAACCATACAATGAAAATGCAACAACACAACTGATACTTACGTGTGCCACTGAGAAGTTTTTATTTAGTTTTTTGATTCTTTGCCCTGTTTGAAAAAAGGGAAAGCTTTCAAAACTACTCATTCATCCACCTGAAAAAACAAAAAGAAAATGTAACATTTAATTAAGTTATTAGGGTAAACCAGGGTAAGATAACCCCCGTGGGACCCTGTCTAATTCTTTTAAGATAACATGTTACTTTTCTCTGCAGGGTGGCGCAGTTGGTAGCACTGTTGCCTCACAGCAAGAAGGTTGCCGGTTCGCGTCCCGGTGGGGGCACCGGAATCTTTCTGCGTGGAGTTTGCAAGTTCTCCCCGTGCAGCGTGGGTTCTCTCTGGGTTCTCCGGCTTCCTCCCACACAGTCCAAAAACATGTTGAGGTTAATTGGTGATTCTAAAATTGTCCGTAGGTGTGAATGTGAGTGTGCTTGGTTGTCTGTCTGTAAGTGTGGCCCTGTGATAGACTGGTGACCTGTCCAGGGTGTCCCCTGCCCTAAGGCGGCTGGGATAGGCTCCAGCCCCCCTGCGACCCTAGTGAGGATTAAGCGGTGTATAGATAATGGATGGATGTTACTTTTCTAATCCCTAGGAAAAAATCTTTCAGAATATTGCTCAGAAAAAACAAGATGACATGAGAAATGTAGGACCTAGCAGAAAAACTAAAGTGTGATATATTACTGAATATAAATAAGTAAGTTAGGGTTGAACTAGAATGAAAGTAAAAAGTAAAGCTGGCAATGATACTGTTATTGTGATTAATATCACACATAATAATGAAATATTAGACATAGATCGAAATGTTGCACATGGTTTAATGTTATCAAATTGCCACACAATGAAAATATAACAACCAACTGACTTATGTGAGCCTTTGAAAAGTATTTAGCATTTTCTGTCGCATTGTGTTTTTTGTTGTTTTGAGTTTAGTTTTGTTTATTTAAACTTGGCTTTCACAGCTATTTTAACAATGGCCACCATATTGGCCGACTTATTCATTCACTTAAAATATCCATATATTTAATATTTATGACCAAATTTAGACGTTAATCACAACATACCAGGCTACTGTATTGTTACTATAAAGCTAAATGTAAAATATTGAAAACGGGCATCTTCCAATATGACCTGGGAAACTTTTTTGGTGCACAAGTCATTTTGATCAATATAAACAACTAGCTACACATGGGATTATCTTTATGTACAAATTTGATGTTGCTCTGACTTTAACTGCAACATAAATGTTATATAACACATGTAGCAATCATTTTTTGAGTGTTTTTTACCAATTAATTTAAAACTTATGAGTCTTGGACAAAAGTTCTATCTTTATAGAACTTTGATATGATTAATATTTAAATCAATGTCATAAAATCAAAATAAAAAATAAAATAAAATATCAAATCCGGCTTAGCCAACAGAAGCTAAGAAATCACATTAGCTAGCTAGTGCTACAGCTAGCTAATGTTGCATAACCTTATTAGCTTAACATAGAGTCAGCTGATCAGACTTTTAGACAGAAAATAAGGCATTTTACTGCTGGTTAGCAGTTTTGTTACTGTATTAGATGATAGCGTAAATACTTAATTAGAAATCTAACATCAGCAGGGCCAGATTATAGAAAATCAGTGATGTCGAAGAGGGCGTCCTCCTCCAAAAGGTCTACGTTTTTCAATTTCATGTATTACAGAAAACTTATTTTTATTATTCAAATTTTGTTACCCCAGTTTACCATTTACACGTCTCTTAGAAGTATACCTACCTGCTGGCTGCAGTTGTTATTGGTGTGGTAACACTTTTTAAGTTGGCAAGCTAAAATATGGCTATGCTAGCTCTATTTAGCTTTGTTCCAGTTAGCTATCTAACAACATATGTCTTGAGATAGAATAGAATAGAATAAAATAGAATAGAATGCTTTTTATTGTCATAATACACAAGGTGCAACGAAATTAAAAGAAAACTCCAGTGGTGCGGAAGTAGAAAAAGTAAAAGTATAAAAAGACAAATATGAATAAATACATGTATTTATAAAAGGAGCCAGTAAGAAGTATGTACAGTTCGATCTCCGGTGGGAAGTTATGGTTAAAACTCCATTTGGAGTCCGCCTCGCCAT